GTCCCCGGGGTCTCAGGGGGCGGAGTGTCCCCGGGGTCTCATGGGGCGGAGTGTCCCCGGGGTCTCATGGGGCGGAGTGTCCCCGGGGTCTCATGGGGCGGAGTGTTCCCGGGGTCTCATGGGGCGGAGTGTTCCCGGGGTCTCATGGGGCGGAGTGTTCCCGGGGTCTCATGGGGAGGAGTGTTCCCCGGGGTCTCAGGGGGCGGAGTCCATCTCGTACCTGGCGGCCATTGCTGATTCTATGACTTCAGAGCAGTGGGAAGGTCTTCCCTCAGACTTCACTGGCTGCATGCTGAGTAGGTGGAGCCAAAAGGAGGTCAGCAATGCCGGCCCCCATCTCCCTCCCAGGAGGTTCAGTGATCACAGAGAGAAGCTTCTAGAACTGACGCTGCGTCCTTCTCCATTGACAGGCCGGACTGGTGTCTCCCGATAACCCCGATCAGCTGATCATTGCCCTGGAACCTGAAGGAGCGTCCATCTACTGCCGCAAGCTCCGCCTCCACCAGATGATCGACCTCAGCAATAAGGCGGCCATCAACGGGGTCAGCCCAACAGATCCAGGTCTGTACGGCATGACAATCCAATCACCTCTGAGACCCGGTGACCTCACCCCTGGGATACCCTCACCCCAGCTGCCCCCCACTGCTTGATGGATACCCTAACCCTTACCCCAGCTGCCCCCCACTGCTTGATGGATACCCTAACCCTTACCCCAGCTGCCCCCCACTGCTTGATGGATACCCTAACCCTTACCCCAGCTGCCCCCCACTGCTTGATGGATACCCTAACCCTTACCCCAGCTGCCCCCCACTGCTTGATGGATACCCAAACCTTAAGGTGGAGCCACTTGGAATCTACACCCCACTGACAGATGTTATTGCCATGGCAGCGCTGATATACAAAGCCACCCCTGACACTGACCCCGAATCTGCCCCCTGACACTGACCCCTGGCACTGACCCCTGGCACTGACCCCGATTCTGACCCCTGAACGCTAACCCTGAATGCTAACCCCAACTCTGACCCCTAACCCCAACTCTGACCCCTAACGCTAACCCCAACTCTGACCTCTGACGCTAAACCCCACTCTGACTGACACTGACCCCGAATCTGCCCCCTGACACTGACCCCTGGCACTGACCCCTGGCACTGACCCCGATTCTGACCCCTGAACGCTAACCCTGAATGCTAACCCCAACTCTGACCCCTAACCCCAACTCTGACCCCTAACGCTAACCCCAACTCTGACCTCTGACGCTAACCCCAACTCTGACCCCTGACCCCAACTCTGACCCCTGACCCCAACTCTGACCCCTGACCCCAACTCTGCAATCTAACACTAACCCTTTATTGATCAACCAAGCCATGTGACCACTACAGTGCTGATGATCGCGAGGCTTTGTTGGGGTTTCCTCATTATCTAACGTCACGTCCCAACCAATCTGCTCCATATGGAGGCGGGACAAGGGGGGTGAAAGACAGTCTGCACACACACCAAATGCACACTCCACCGGCAACGAGTTATATAATGTACATGTGCAGAGCGCCCCCCGCTGTCCCAATACTATATAATGTACATGTGCAGAGCGCCCCCCGCTGTCCCAATACTATATAATGTACATGTGCAGAGCGCCCCCCGCTGTCCCAATACTATATAATGTACATGTGCAGAGCGCCCCCCGCTGTCCCAATACTATATAATGTACATGTGCAGAGCGCCCCCCGCTGTCCCAATACTATATAATGTACATGTGCAGAGCGCCCCCCGCTGTCCCAATACTATATAATGTACATGTGCAGAGCGCCCCCCGCTGTCCCAATACTATATAATGTACATGTGCAGAGCGCCCCCCGCTGTCCCAATACTATATAATGTACATGTGCAGAGCGCCCCCCGCTGTCCCAATACTATATAATGTACATGTGCAGAGCGCCCCCCGCTGTGCGGATAATATAACAACATCCAGGCTGACTGCGGGTTACAGAAACATGTTTCAAGTGTCATAAACTCTCCCGGTGGCCTTTAAATGAAATGTATGTGAAGGTTCATTCCTCCGGGTCATGTATGTGAAGGTTCATTCCTCCGGGTCATGTATGTGAAGGTTCATACCTCCGGGTCACGTATATGTGAAGGGTCATTCCTCCGAGTCACGTATGTGAAGGTTCATTCCTCCCAGTCACGTATGTGAAGGTTCATTCCTCCTGGTCATGTATGTGAAGGTTCATTCCTCCGGGTCATGTATGTGAAGGTTCATTCCTCCGGGTCACGTATGTGAAGGTTCATTCCTCCGGGTCATGTATATGTGAAGGTTCATTCCTCCGGGTCATGTATGTGAAGGTTCATTCCTCCGGGTCATGTATGTGCAGGTTAATTCCTCCGGGTTATGTATGTGAAGGTTCAGTCCTCCAGGTCACGTATGTGAAGGTTCATTCCTCCGGGTCACGTATGTGAAGGTTCATTCCTCCGGGTCACGTATGTGAAGGTTCATTCCTCCGGGTCATGTATGTGAAGGTTCATTCCTCCGGGTCATGTATGTGAAGGTT